TGTCTTATTTCAAATCCTACTATTATTATAAATGCGAAAGTTTGTAAGGATAAATGAAATTTGTTACATGGATATATTAGATATTAGAACATAGGATATACTAGCGGCCCGGGCCGGCTTTTAGCGGGTGGACATTTATTTTTAAAACATTTTGGAATAAAAAGAAGAATGAATGAAGAAGCGAAAGAGGTTTGTTTGAATCGAAGCATTTGGCGTTCCATTGTTTCTGTCTACCCTAATGGGAGACAGGCGTGACAGATATGTATATGTATGTATGTATTTTGGAATAAACACGGACTAAATATATCTTTAGGCAGGATAAGTAGATTTTTCAAATGACCATCTATTTCTATGTTATTCATAGATACACGTGCATGTCTGTCACATCACACGTCTGTCCATGTTTCCATCACTTTCCTTGTGATCCCTTCCTCGCCACGTCGTCCGTTGCGCTGTGTGGAACTACAGCAGCCACGGAGCGTCGGCGGGACTGCGTTCTTTATTCTATGATATAACTTTTTTATTTACCGATTGAAATAAACACTAAATCTTAAATAAAGCAAACCGCAACGCATTAGTAGAGACCGCATTCAAATCGGTTAAGCTGTTTCTGAGATTAGCGTAGTGTACAAGCGTACAGACAAACAGACAAAAATCTAAAGATCATTGTTTTGGGTTCTATTGCATTTTTCATAAAGTTCCTCTATAATAGTTTTACTTATATATCTTTTATGTACAGACAGCGACCAGTTGCGATTTTATATGTATTGATTACGATACACACTGGGTAAGCCGCGGGATACTGCTAATACTACCAAATACATGTAAGCCAAATTATGTGACAATAATTTAGGTCCTTATGATATTTAGGCTGCCGAATTTTTAGTTTATGTATTATAACTTAAAAAGGAAATCATATAAATAAAACATAGTATATCATAAAATATTTATATAAATACAAATACATGTATCATATTAGAATGAGTACCTACAGTTTAAGTGATTTTCATATGAGTTTATAAATTGTTTTTGTAATTCTATATTATGTTTTTTTTTTTACATTTATTTTGACGATACGTAATACAAAAGTAGGCCTGTAATATAACAAATTAATACATATAATATTTTATATTAATATAATACTAATATTTATATGGCATATTTAAGCTACATATAAATATGTTTTAAAATCTATAAGGTATATTGTATTTCCTATATCATCTTTTTAAAATGTTATGCTTAGAATACAATTTGAAAGTATATACCCAAATATACTTCCTTATGCATTATGGAGACAACGTTAGACCCTTTGCCGTCCTTAATGATGTGCCGAGACGTTCTTTCTTGGTATTCGAGTGTTTTGGTACTTGTTAAAAAACAAATCGAATTATGATCCGAGTTTGAGTACTCAGACGAGTACTTGAATACCTATCTACTTGTTTAGGTATTTTTGTACTTCATTAGATTGAAGTAATTTTTCAATGATTTCTGAAGTTGACTTTTAATTAACAATAAATATTCAGACATTTCATATGCTTTCTTCTGGTAAATAAATAAAAATAATAGTAAAAGTACAATCACGCGTCTAATATTCGAATACCCAATTACTGGAATCCTGTAATCGAGTACTGTGTATCTAAATTTTGTATATTGAGTACACAGATTCCAAGATTCGAGTGAGTTTGACTCGTCACATCGCTAGTCCTTCTAGACATGTGGAAAATGAGTTTATTGTCAAAATATGATACAATTTCGTTTCCGCATGCAGAATGATACAGTAACGTCTGACATCTTATTCTTTCATATATGTACATTCGATAAGAAAAACGTATCTTCAGATAGACTTCTTTGTCAATTATCAAGAAGATATGAATCTAAATAAGTACTATAATGTCTTTATGACCTTCTGTAATTTTACAATTAAATAAACAGATGATTAAGATTGTGTTCCACAAAGAAAAAATAATTTTCCAAATCGGTTTACAATTGACGGAGTTATAAGGGAACAAATATATAAAAGAAAATATAACCGAATTGAGAACCTCCTTCTTTTTAAAATTGGTTAAAAATAATTTGACATACTGGATGAGTAACTGTCTTTATTAATTTATGTGACTGTGTACGCCTCCTGTAACAATAATGATTGTTTGATAACATTATCGATATTGTATAGGGGCATTTGATTTTTTTTTATGAGGAGCAACAGAATATTAAAATATTATTATCTGGAGTAGATGGATAACGTTTCATAAAATTAATAGTCGATGGTACTTGACGAACGTTTATAAAGTCGAATATTTGTAGTTTTTGTTTTAATAAAGAAGTAAGTTTAATTCAAGTAGAATTACTTAGAAAAGAGGAAATTTATCATAATTGTCGATTTTGCGATGAATTGTACAATTAATTAAACATTGAAAACTGATTCTCAGTATATCTAACATTCAGGTAGTAAACTCAGATAACCTTAGCATGCTTTAGGGAACTAGAGGGATTTTTTATACTATTTTGATGGCAAACAAGTATACGTCCTGTTTGATGGTAAACGGATCCATAGGCTACGGTAACCACTGCAGCTTATGGACGCCTATAACACCAGGGATATCACACGTGCGTTGCCGACCCTTAAGAAATCTTATTACGCTCTTTTGAAGAAACCCTCTGCTGTAGTCTATGGGGAAAGTCTCGGCAGGAAGATCATTCCACAATCTGAGTGTTCGCCGGAAAAAGTTCCTCTGAAATCGCACTGTGTGTGACCATTCTGATTCTAAGGTGTGAGGATAGATTCCTTAGCAATGGCGAGCGATGCGATTGTGAAAGGTGGCTGTAGGCATCATATTGAAAAGCGCTTTAGATACAATCCGTTATAATTGATAATTGAGTGTATTTTAATTAAAAGGGGGTTTCAGAGGGAGACGCACAGAAATTGTTTGCATGTATATTTTTGTTCTATCCGTGTTTCTGCCGTGAAGCAGCTGTTCTTAGATAGATGTGTTTTGGTTTGAAGAATGGGTAGATTCTGTAATGTAATTGCCGTGGGATATGGCAATATATACATAGATATAACACTATGGAATGACAAAAAATGAGGAAAATCATGGAAAATCATGTCAACACATTTAATTCATGTTTATAGGTAACGGTTACTGTTTTTCATCAAGGAGGCTGTTAGCTTGTTTGCCATTATAAGTATCATAAAAACAATCCTATGATTATGGTGAGTTATTTGAAGTTTACTTTTTATAATTAAAATAAACTTGTCGTAGTTTGTATCGAAGCTTCTCGTATATAGTTTATTTTAATAACAGTATCGCGCACTTACCATAGAAGAAAAGAAAAAATATTGTTATATTTATGGTACACAATCCTATTATCCTGGGTGAGCGTATTGGAAGACTGTAAGGCTCACCCAGTGGATGTAATAAATAAATAAATTATTCTCAGATTAGCTGAAATCAGTTTATTTTTTTTTGTGTAAAAATATCATTATATAAAAGTTATATAGTAGTTTTTATTTGAAAACTACAAATTTTTATATATAAGACCTATACAATGATATATTTATATATAAGTCAATAATTTTATAGAATAGCTGTTTATGAGAATACAAAAGTGGGAAACTAAAATGGATGTGATAGGTGTTTTTTGTGACCTTTCTAAGGCTTTTGATTGCGTTGATCATAATACATTGCTAAAAAAACTTGCTTTTTATGGCGTCAAAGACAATGCTTTAAATTTAATAAAATCTTATCTATCTGATAGAATACAGAAAGTGAAGATTAGCAACGCTACGTCTGACGGGTCACTTGTGCAAATGGGTGTACCTCAAGGATCTATTCTCGGTCCATTTTTATTCCTAGTTTACATTAATGATCTCCCATATGCCATGCAGGATAGATGCGGCATAGTATTATTTGCAGACGATACTTCATTGATTTTTAAAGTTAATAGAATGACTAATAATTATGACGATGTAAATAGTGCTTTGCGGCATCTCCTGCACTGGTTTACAACTAACAATCTTTAGTAAAAACGCTAAAAAAACAAAATGTGTTAATTTCTCTCTGTCTAAAAGTTTTAATACTAATTGCAATATTAAATTAAATGACGAATCTCTCGAATTTATAGAATCTACTGTCTTTCTAGGAATCACACTAGATAATAAAACACAATGGGGTGCACAAATTCAAAGCCTTGCAGCGAAACTAAGTTCAGCAGCTTTTGTGCGTAAAGTTAGACAGTACACTGATACTGATACTGCTAGATTAGTCTATTTTAGTTATTTTCATAGTTTACTCTCTTATGGAATATTACTATGGGGAAAAGCGGCAGATATTAAGAATATATTCATATTACAAAAACGTGCCGTTCGAGCGATCTACTGTATGAAGAGTCGTGACTCATTAAGAGAGAAATTCAAAGAGGCAAATATTCTCACCGTTGCTTCTCAATTTATATATTCAAATATCCTATATGTTCATAAAAATCTTGACTTATTTCCAAAAAACAGCAATATTCATAATATTAATACTAGATTTAAAGACAAACTTGCTGTCCCCAAGTATCGTTTAGAAAAAGTTAATAGGTCTTTTATGGGAATAGGTATAAAAATTTACAATAAGATACCAAAGGATATGTTGGAATTACCCTTAAATAAATTCAAAACATCTGTTAAATCATATTTACTGAGCAAAGCCTATTACTCACTAAACGATTACTTGAATGACGAGTGTGCATGGCAATAGTTGTTCATGCACTGAATTTTCATTTAATGTTAGACATAGACACCTATATAAATATACATTGTAAATAAACTGGCTTTAAAAAAAAAGTAATTCAATTGAGTTTCTTGCCAGTTCTTCTCAATTGGATCTATATACCGAACTGGACGGTAGGGAAAAAAAATAAAATTTTAATGTAAAAATTTGACGTTCATAAGCGGCTAAAATGTCCTACATGAATAAATGATTTTTGAATTTTGAATTTTGAAAAAGGAAAACAAATGAAAGAAAATAATTTAATTTTAGCACGAGAACCACAAATAAGATATATACATCGTTAGATAGCAAAAAATTTTTTGTATGCATCAGATAAAATTATTTTAATGTAAGGTCATATAACAGACACTTTTTTGACAAAAAGCAATTATAAATTGGAATACAATTTCCGCACTTTGTCTTTAATATATAAGCTTTGTATGTTAAAAAATTTAATTTTTGAAATAAAGACTTTTCCTTATGTTAAATTAATTATTATTAGTAACAATTTAAAATATAGTAAATACTGGAAATTATATATTCTACTTCGTTATTTGTACTCTTTTAAAAATATAAAACTAAAACTACAGTAAATGTTCAGAAACTAATAAACGATATTTTACACGTATTAAATTTAAGTATTCTCTTAAATATAAAGATATAGTATTTCGATATACAGTAAATTTAGGTACACGTTAGCATAACAAGTCAAGAAATGGCTGGTAATGATAATAGATTTAAAGTTGTTTATATTAAATAAATAACTATTAATAAAACAATAAAGAAATTATAAAAAAAAAAAAGCTGATTAGTATTTTATATTTACCTGCAGAATAATGAATATAGAGTTTTATGGCACAAAAAGAAATTTTATGTAATAATATCTTTGTTGATTTAATTTCTATGAGTTGAAATAAGTAAAATATCTTCAATTTCATGTACTTATAGTCTTGTGATATTTTAAAAAAAGGAAACAAATAATATACACCTGTACAATAAATTAAAAACATCTTACTAATAAATAAACACAAATAATTTTTTTTTGTAAAATTATAGCTATTTTTATACTCTTAGATAAGTACTACAATAAGTTTATGTAGAAAATTAGGCCTAGTTGTTTAATTATTTGCTCATTGATGATCCCACGGTAATGAACTAATTTTAATCGTGGACCAAGAAATTATTTTTGTAAATACTTAAATAAACAATTTAATTAATTTTACGTATATTTGTTACCATTGTCTATTTTGTTGTGTAGATTTGGAGTAATTTAGGGTAATATTAGTTAGCTATCTATGTAAAAATATACACAAGTACATAGGGGTAAGTGATTTTATATTAATCTCATTATACAAAAAGAAAAACAAAGTATATTTCTCTACAAGGAAGGCGTCAGGAATGCCTTTCTCTTTTATATATTTTTTGATTGAGAGATAAATTTCATCGGTTGCATAGATTAATATTCTCACAGAATGAGTTTTATTTACAGAAAACACATTTTATTTGAATTTGGGAAGAATTACAAAATAAAGAACAAACTATACTATATATACTGCCAGTATCTTGAGTATACTGAATATTTGTGTAAAATTTTCTTTTCTGGTGTTAAAGAAAATCACAAATCTTCATCGATCGTCTTCTTATAAAAATAATTAATGTCGCAAAAAAATCATTAGTAAACAAGTGGAAAGAATAATACATATCAATCTGTAGCATAATTGAACTACAAAACTTAGTATTATCTATTTAAAAAAACACAATTTTTCGTAATGTTTTCGATAAAACTCAATTTAAAAAGTTATAAATAAAAAATCAACGGTTCAGGGCATAAATTAGTTATTATTATGAATTTACCAGAGGAAAACTTTGTGCAAAAGTCGATTGCTTGAGTACCTCTTTCCCATTCGTGTTTCTACCGTGAAGCAGTTGTGTTTGCATGGCTGTGTTTCGGTTTGAAGGGTGGGATATGGCGTGAATTTACAGGGTACAGAGGAAAAACACCCGAGTCCTCAGGAATGGCAACGCATGGGGGATATTATGGGCGAAACAGTATACTGTTATGTCCATGGTACTTACTGCTCATGTCTATAGGCGACGGTTACCACTTTTCATCAGGTGGGCCGTCGGCTTGTTTGCCATTCTAAGTTGAATAAAAAAAAAAGATTATAATTTTTGGTGAACATGGTAGATTGTACGCTGACTATATCTGGTAAAAAAACTGTATAAAATAACTGGTAGAATAGGCATATTAAGGAAGTAATGGTGTATATCATAGAAATTCATATGATGTATGTAAATCGATAAGTAAATACAACTCATTGTATAGTATTTTATATGTGACAAGATATACGTATATTTTTTTTATTCAGACGTGACTTAAAGAATTATATAATATTTAAATAAGTACTTAAAGATAAATTAATTGGGCAAAACAAGTAACGAAATCTGCTTACTTAAGAATTTTCGATTATTTACTAAAATAATTGTAGAAGTAATTGGATATCAAATAAACATTATTACAATACTAGCTGATTTATCAATTAAAATTACAATGGTACAATGTTTCTATAAAAGTATATATTGTGGATAAAATAATTAAAAATTATGTTCCATAAAAAAACCGACCTCAATTGTGGCAAAACCAGTTATTTTGATTTAAAAACTAAACTATTGAACCGATTTCGATAAAAATCCTATTGGACCAATGTGTAAGTATATATTTTTAGATAAAAAACCATTTTTTAATTCGGTATGAAGTAATAAACATAAAAAATATAACCGAATTTAGAACTTCTTTCTTTTTGAAGTTGGTTGAAAATTATGGAAACAGTAGGTATACGTTTTAATTTATAATAATAAAAAATATGTTTTTTTTATGGTTTCAGTACAATAAAAGCAATATTTATTACACTAAACAAAGATCTAGGACATACACTTGGAAAAGTCTGTGAGTTTTGTAACATAATTGGTATTTTACATATACAAATAATCACTTATGTAGTTTACAGTACGTAAATTTTGTTTTACTAAGAATACAATATTTTTACCCGTATTTTTAAAGGACATTTCTATAACTGATTGACTTTTAATTAGAATAAACGAAAATTAAGTCTCAAGATTTCAAATTAAGCATTAAATGCCAAATAACCTCGTATCTGTTTCATTATATAATGAACATCGAGAGTAGTTGAGACTTTAGATTATAGCAATAGACGGTTATTATGCTGTTATTTTTAAAGCAAAGTTGCAAAAATAGTTTTGAAATCATGATTAAATAAATTGGTCCAATGATTGAATTATTTGTTTAATGTTTGTACTCGGTGAACTCGGGATGTGGTTCTTCTATTTCTTCAAAGGTACCGTCTCCGCTTCGTTTAGCCCGGTTTGATATCATCGATGGTGTGGCCGCCTTAACTGTAACAAAGAGCATAGTTATTTCTTTAATTATGAGAGTCGTAATTAATGTAATTATTGTAGCCTAGTGGTATATTATCCCGGTTAGGGGACCTTCATACTTATTTTCATTCTCATCTATTATCGCTCGCTGGTGCTTCGCCATCGCATCGTGAAAGCATTACCATTCCAAACCCCTAAAACCATATTAAAAATTCTTCGGGTTAGACACCCGTTAAATTTTCTTTTTTAATTTTTCTAATATTTCAGTGTATATATATACTGAAATGTAACAGTATAAGTCCATATTTTTAATATCTTATATTCTGTAAGGTATATACGATTTATTACTAAAAACTGAAAAAAACATATTCTAATAATTATTTTGTGATTGTAAAAATGTCAAATGATTGACATTTATAAAAAATACAAAAATAATAATTTATTTTTGCCTTAGAAGTTCCTCAGAAACAAGCTATCAAGTGGAAAATAGATAGAAGAATAGTATTTGTAAATATGTATAGTTATTACTTAATATGCGCTGTCAGGTTGATTTCACGCAGTCTCTCATGGAAACAATCGTGGTTAATTTCTGATGACATCGTCCCGATAGGCCAACTGACCTGTTTTTATCCTCACCTATCATGCTCTTTCAGTGTATACGCGTAGGCTGAGTAAACTATTCCATTATTATATATTAAAAAACACGTTAATTCCAGTCTCTTATAAATTATTAACATTGGATAATTTTATAATATTTTAATGAGTAACTCTGCATTTTGAAATCTTAAATTATTAACAGGGTTAAATGTAGTCGGAAGGTAAATTTTTCAACTTATTAATTATGTAACATCGGATTTCTTTTTATTCTTTATATATTTATTTGGATTTCTGTGCCTTTCAGAAGAAAAATTCCAAAACGTACACAAATCCCGATCCGTCCCGGTCCAACTTATGAGTAACATACGAGTATAACATTATATATATAGAGCATCGAGTCTCACAACTCTAATTGAGATATATTGATAGACCGAGATAAATAGTAGTCTATCTCCTTTTCTATTCCAAAAGGGTAGGATATGTCAATGAAATTAGAGAGAACGGAGTCATAATATTTAAGTCCTGAGAAATGGATATCGATTCGTATGTTGAGTTTCTCTGGATATTGATGGTTATCAAGAAGGACACCACCCATTTCGAATTCGCCCATATCGGTCGGATGTCTATTTTCGAATATGTTAAAAGCCTATTATCCAATATTATTTTATAGATAACAAACTTTTAACATGTTCTTTGTTGGACTTGTATATAGATATTGTAACTAAAATATATAAATATTGTTATATATTATATTACCCACCCCTACTGTTTATTTCTATTGGCGACGGTTACCACATTCCATCAAGTGGGCTGTCAGATTGTTTGGCATTCCAATTTCCAAGGTGCCAAGAGGTAAGAAACAAACAAAGTTACGTTTACATTACTAGTGAAGATTTATTTTATGCAACTTAATATATCGGAAAATTCAGATTTGTATTAATGTAAATATACAAATTTATTGAACTTTGCATATATTGTATAAAGTGGAAATGAATTGTGATTGTTAGAATCTAAAAACTATCTAGAAACTAATTCTCACAAATAAAAAAGTGCTTGAGAAAAAAATGAGTTTTTACAGACTGCAAATAAGTTCATGGAAGCTATTACCACAAGAATGCATAATATTTATTTTCAACAATTTTTCTTATTGAGTTCTGAAAAACTCCATTCATACTACGCACAATGAAACCTGCCATCAGTTTACGTTATTTATTTCTTGGTTTTTAATGTGGTTGATTTTTAATTTATAGTACTGATACCTACTTGATTTATTGAAATATATAAAAAAAAAACTTACGGTCATATGCCCAGCCAATTTTGGAGAAAATATCGATAAATCTAGTAGACACATTGAAACGGCCAAGCTCTGATGTGCGATAATCCCACGGGAACACGTGATGGTAATTATGCCAGCCTTCACCCAGTGCTGCTAAACTCACCATTTGATTTTCAACGGAGAGTATGAACCTATAAGGGAAGATAGGTTATTACACAGAATGCCTTGACTACTTTTTTATATTCTTATATTATTCTATATTATATATTAGATTCTCCATTGAAAAAATTGTTTGGTAGAGATCGATTTTAGTGATATCGGTGCCCGAGGATTTTTCTCTGTGAACTTGTTTTATTATTAATATATAATAACATTGTAATATTTGAATACAAATTTGTTGTTAATGTTAGTCAGTCCGCTTACTTTTTAACCACGCAACAGTTTGTTATGAATTTCACTGAATATATTTTTTTACGGTAGGTTTGTATATACAATTTGCATCCGTGCGAATATGGAACGGGTTGATAGGTAATGAAACGATTGACTGGTAGCAGAATTATATGTTACTTTGTATTTTATTATTAGTATCACTTTATATATATAAAGCAACAATATTATTCAGTCCGGAGGCTGAAATAGTGTAAATTCTGATATAACAGGTCTATATCTGAGTCCGCAGAAGTGAGAGCTGTATGTATTTATAGGCGATTCTTCATCTTCAGGTAATCCTTTGAATCAGGTAAGCCTTTACATTATTTTACAATAGAGGAGGTAACTAAAAGAAGACAAAAGTAACTTTTGTAATGTTGTGGCAAATTGCTGGATATTATTTTTAAAATTTATGTTCATTTTTAGCCTATATATATATAAACATCTAATTACTAGATGTTTATAATTTGACAACTTTAGGAGTGTAAGTGATGATCATCCGATAGTTGTGGGTTCGATCCTCGCAGATTACCTACATTGATATACGATGATAATGATGAAGATATGTTTATTACTTGTCTAATTATTTTCCTGTTTTGGAATTACTGACCATTTTATTTCCAGTATGTGAAATAAGAAAGGAAGAGATAGAAAAATCAGTGAAAAGTAGTTCATGGTTATAAATCTTATTGTCCATTGTTTGTATAGATGTTTTCATTACATAATTCACAAAAATATTAGGTACATACAAAGATAAAAGACATAGTACAAGATAAATATACAAGAACGAATTTAAACCCGAGGGAGAACGCTTCCAGTCAATCGTAGAAGAGTTTATAAAGGAATGGGGATTTATTTTCCAGCAAGTAATAGCTGTATTACAAAAGAATGAATAACTACAAGGAACATATTACGGTATAGACCTTCATGTCTCTACGCCCGTCGGTATATTCATGACTATTTTTAGCCAGCACCTAAAATACTGTCGACATAGCATTTGGAATAGTTGTTATCGCTAAGTGTTTATACTTACATAACCGTATTTCTGTTTAAAAGATGGGTTGTGGCAGGAAAATTATAGATGACGGAAGTATAAAACTTTAGTCCTCAGACATGGCAAATATGAGAGGTATTAAGGTTGTCACAGAGTATTTTGTGATGTTCATGGTACTGTTAAAGTTTATAGGCGTTAGTTATTACTTTCTATGATAAAAAAAGAGGTGTTGAGTGCACATTCTAAAATACTTAATAATTCTTACTTATACTCAATATTTATTATTATATGTAATATATAGAATAGAAATCATCTATATTTTAACAGAAATCATTAAAAGTCAGGTAGTTCTTGGGGACCAAAACGTTATACCTTTGTATCCTGTAATTTCACTGCCAACTCCTCTAACTGAAATACGGCTATGCAAGTACCGCAAATTTAGAACAGAAATACGAGTGGGATAGAGATGTTCAAGCGGATAAACTTTATACAAAATCCACTAGTGACAATTCACTTACAACTACTACTGTGCTTGTAGCAATTTACTTACAATTAGTACTCACTTGTGCTGGAAAGATACAAGTTATATACAAGACAAAATTATTATTTATTTTGGCAAGACAAACAATAATTTATATGAAACAAACATTTACCTGTCGTAAGGCTTGTTACCCCAAAGGTGAGCGAAGCTATTGACGCAGTAAGCGACGTTCAGTGTGATGGTAAATCTGGTTACGAAGCTAATGACGAAACTGATGAGTAGGCTCTCTCCCCAGTAGTACCAAGGTATCCATACCGGCAGTGCTATATTTAGCAGGCCGAAGGAAGGAATGAAGATCCTAGAAAGGAAACAAATATTGTTTTTCAATTAAAAAAGGAGAAGCTTATCAATTCGGTGGCATTTTTTATATTTGTTACCTCATAAAGCTGTCATTTATAAAATGACTTGGAAAACTCTTAAATTCATTTTTTTATCCAAAAGGATATGTTTTCCTATTTAACCCATAGAAATTAAATCAAGAGCGGTTTTAAAAATTATATAGTTTTTAAATTAAGAAATTCGTTTTAACACAATTTATTATTATTGTTTAGTATTATTACTTTATTATTTAACATTTGAAAGAAGTGTTCTGCCAGTGAAACTTAATATACTAAAATATATTCTGACAAGCAATAAAAAGTCACATCACTGGATATATTTCTTTATATTTTGTATTTCTAAAGGTAAACGCTTTTTTATACAAATCCGAATGTACCTATCGTATAATAACTGAGAGTAGGTACTTTAGATATTATTGTAGTTGGTAAATTTATATTATATCGATTTGATGGTACTTAGTAAATAAGAATATATAAATTATGTGTGTATAGTTTTATTACTTCATTAATATTATAAATGTGGTAGTACATTTTTTTAATTTGTTTAATTCTGATTACGTATTTAAAAAGCGAGTATTACTAATATACAGGTTTTTTTTATACTACTGAGGTGGCAAACAAGCATATGCCATACAGTTATATGAAAATAGGTATTTATAAAATAATTTGTCCTGACTTATTAACAACACAGAACTAAAACTACTAAGGTTAGGAAATTAAAATTTTGAATATAAGTTTATTTTATAACGTAAGCATCTTTTGATTTGAAGGGATAACACGACACCGCGAATATATTACGTGTTACGTAAATAAGTATTATTAATGAAGGATTTCATGATGTGAGATTGTAGTCGGTACTTCTGACATAGTACGTTTCTGTTAGCAGATCATTAGAAGCGTACAGAGTATGTCGTAAATATTGGCTTCATTAGTCATCATTGAGTGTACCATCTGTAAGCCGACTAGGAGTCAAAGTCGTTGTCAAGGACAAAAACTGATCTGACCAATTAAGACTGTTTGTAGGAAAGTACAAATTCTGTGAAATTGACGAAAGATGGCTTATATCAAACATTTCTACTCGTATAAATTATTGGATTTAAAAAAAAATGCTCACGACTTTAATTGCTGATGTAATTGTCAGAGACATTTGTTGAATGTTGCTATTGTGGTGAATGTACTTGATATGCCCACTTATCATCTTCTCTTGGATTATGTCTGATTATATTGCAATTACTTAAACTATGTTATTTGCGAAACGAAATAACTGAGAATTTTCTGAGAAATAAAATAACGAATTATAATAATTTATTTTGAGAAAACCTTTTATGTTTATTAGTGAGAAAATAAAAATATAAAAAAAGCAAAGAAAATGATAAGCTTGGATAACTTCTGAATGTAAATTACGAGAAAATAGTTTTTTTAAATAGGTTTGAGTATGTCCTAAATTGTTCTTACTATTCGTTATCTGAGGGCTTATCATGAAATGTTTTCCGAAATTTCGGAGGCAAACGAAACAGAAATTTGATGTTATAATTACATAATACATGTCATTTGGAAATATTAAAAATGTTAAAATATTGTTCCTTTGGACTTTTATGATAGAATGTATGACGAACGAAATGTTAAACTCCATTTATTGGTCCGATTTTGGTATAAACAAAAACACGAAATTGAGTCCGAAATTTCGGAATTTCAATTCATGGTAGACCCGCTGGGTTCAGATATTTTATTACTACGAGTATTATATCTTAGTGCTGTCAGTTTATATCTTTATAGAAACAATATACATTTACAATACACGTAATATTTCACATAGCATAACTTTCGTCTTATACATTCTTCACATAAGTATTGCAGTTGTAGAATAAAGTAAAAAATTAATGAAATTATTATATTAACAAATAATATTATTGTATATATATATATATATATATATATATTATATATATATATAAATTAATATTACAAATATTACATCATATGATGTAATATACGTATTATGTAACATTTATAATAATAAAAAAGTATGTTAGTATATATAATTTCAAATAGTTAAAAAATTACAACGTATTTGGACGTCTATGCAAAGTATAATAAGGGTAACGTAATCCCTTCCTTCTATAAATACCGTACATTTATACAAAATAAATTCATTTCTGATTTCCTCTCATATATGAGTAGGTAGGTATATTTTTATCTTTTCACTTCCGCATCGTCAGACAACCTTGTATTTGCTATTTTTTCTCGCAAATCCGAAACACTGTAGTTTTCTTTCGTAGTAATCCGCATTAGTACCTTCTTGTATTATACGTAGATGACTTGTCAGCTTAATTCGCAAGATTCACAGAAAACAATCATTAAATATAATTATTTACAGACACACTAAATCAGTATCAATTTGTTCAATTTCGCCATTATTAGAGTGTTGTTGTGATTTCGCTTACATAATGTATGAGGCATCCCGATCGGAACCTTGAACACAAATCATGCTACGATACGGCGTTGGACGTTCACGCTATGAACCGAAACCGAACGAAATCGAGAGACAAATTAGGTGGATTTCATATTAGAGCGTCTACGTATTGAATGTTTAAAAAGTTTATTTTTCATTAAAAAAAGAAGTTATAAATACATAAGAAAAATAATAGTTCTGAATTCAAATTGAAAAATCAGCATGATCTGCGAATCTTTATTTAAATTATTTGCAATGCGACTCTAAAAAATTGTAGTATTCGTTTTGTTATAAAAAAACATGTCTTGTTTTTGGTTTGACTTTTTGACACTAGTTGCTTCGCCTTAAAGTATATGATCTAAGTGTTATATCTACAATTGTTGGAGAAAAGAAATGAAAACTAAATTTACATCATCCATATTTTAATGTGTAGCTTAGTGTATAAGGTTCTTTGTTAGATTATCGGTCCTTTCAATTTTGGAAATGAAGTATTTAAATTTATTTGCGTCAGGGTGGTGTATCATTTGCGTCACGTTGTTGTTTGATTTCACATACTAAAGGACATAACTAAAATAAAATAAATTAAATAGTAAATTAATGTGATACGTGTTATACAGTATTAAAAAATATAAAAAAGCTTACAGTTTTTGTATCCTCACGACGGGATCAGCTAGGAGATCTAAGGAAGTCTTCTGAAGGGCTATCCGGCGATTCTCTACTGCGGGGTGAGGTGTGAGGACTAGCCAGCCCACGTGAGCGAACCAAAATCCTCGCCTAACATCGTGAGGGTCGGCAACGGTCTCGGAGTATTTGTGATGTACGCGGTGATCCAACGCCCATGTATATATATCCCTCTGTTAAAGAAAAAATATATATTCATATTTTATTCATGGAAAATATAATTAAAATGCATCAGAAACCAAATCAATATTATCATGCAGATGACATTCGAAGCATTCATATTGGGATTAAATCGAAAAATGTCATTAAATGGACGTTACTTTGTTGGTGAAAGCGGAAAACTTAATAATATTTATTTTTCGTAGTTCCGAAACGCTATTTACTAGTTATTTCTATTCTACGTTTGTTTGCTGTAATTAATAACATAGAATGCCTATAGTATCAAGTCCGTCTTTTGTATCACATTTTATGTATATTCTTTATTGCACTTGAACAATACATATAGCGATTAGTTTAACAACTTGTTAGCAAGGGAGGGCTTATCTCTGAAAGAGATCTCTTCCAGCCAACCCAGTGTAGTTAGAGAGAAAATAATTAATTAGCGGGTTGATCAATAAGGCTTTTTTATCTGTCGTTAACTGTCCACTGCTGAACTTAGCCACTCTGTGAGGGGAGTTTTACCATTAGTTGTACGTTTGGCAGGTGGGTTGGTAACAGCAGTTAGGATGTTTGCTGTTGCCTATTCCTTGACTACCAAATTCCCTTAATCGTCTCTTATGACATCCACGGGCAAGGAAAGGGTGGTCCATTCTATACCGGGATCACTTGGTTCATAATTATGGCAAATAGATAAATAAATAAATAGAATTATAATAATCAATGCCGCTGCATTATAATTATTAGTTTTATTCGATATAACTGCAGTTTGATCGAATAGAAAAAACACAATGACATAAAAATATTTTAAGAATAAAATAAATACTATAAAAAAAAAAAAAAAAAACATTAAAATGGTACCACCCAGCTATGTATATGTCAGATAAAATCCAGTTTGCAGGATAACGTTGATTCGATTTTTATTGTATCTTAATTAGGAGTACGTTTACATTAAAGTTATAGCAGGTCAATAACTGCTTACATAGTTATATCTGGTCTAAAATCAGGTCGACATCTACGTAGTTCTGTTAGTTTTCTGGAAACGATCGTGTTTTATTATTCGTGTTGAATTTGTTATAAAAAGCTATAGGACTTTTTTATCCTTATATATCGGCACTCATTAGTACTCCGCAAGCGTATACCAAGGAGGCATTCAAAGTTACCATTTCATCTATAAAAAAGTAATATTAAGACATATATATAATAAATTCTATAGTAATACATTCCAATTCAGTACTTCTATTTAATACAGTCCTTTTTCATTTAGAATAGTCGAATATCTACCAAATTAAATCGTCAAAAGCTAACAAATAAACGAACTTACTTTCACATCTTATAATACTCGTAATTATAAGATGTAAAAGTTCATTATATATTAAGTAAGGGTACAACTAAGAATATTCTGTAAACAGTATATGTTAACTCAATGAAATTCTTTGGTAACGGCTTTAATTATTTTAATAAGCAATCTACTTAAAGCTTAATGGATAAACTTTATCTATTAAGCATTAAGTAGATTGTTATATATATTGTAAATTATTTTTTTTATATTTTGAATGTAACGAAATTAATGTTTATATTGTAAAATATATATTGGACAAATTGATTTATTTCAAGCCTATATTTTGTTATACATTCAATCTACTAAAAAGTTACGCTTTAGACGGCTTATGTAAAAAACTGAAGTTTGAATGGTTACTTTCGTAACTTATTTGACATATACTTTTATATTTTATATATATTGTGATAACTAAATACACAAAACATATCATTCTTGTGTAAATATTTTATGTATTTGTGGAAATTTGAATAAAAACCATTCAGTATTCCATGTACATGGAGATTAATGATTTCTAAGTACATAGTCGAAACGCTGGTATTCATATTTTTATTTGGAGTTCTAGTAAGTTTTCCAATATAAATTGTCACAGCTCAGTTAATATCTAATATAAATATATACCTTAAACCTTCTCTGAGAAATCTCTCTATTCATTAGTGTTGTATTGAGTCCGTTCAGTATTTTTTAGTTTTGTTCTTTCTAACAAGGATGAACGGCGAGACGACCATATTTTATGCTTTAGGTAACAGTACAAAAGAAACGCCTATTAGTACAGACCTATACATAAATTTTATTACGTAGAAGGCAATATAGTTAAAAACATTTTTTTTATTTGAATTAATTAAAACATAAATTTTAGCAACAATAATAATTACGTACTAAATGGAAAATTGTTTTGGGGTTATATTTCTACTTGTATACTTTGTACAAGTAAGAAAGTTCAAAATACTTGATAATAAATATTGGCCTTTTAAATAACTGACATTTAATTTATTTCAAGCTATCACATTTCAAATTTCATAATTTAAATACCCAAGAATTTACGAAGTGTAAATCTTACTCTATAACTTGTAATATATTTGACTTCTCGCTTGCTACCATAGGTAAATTATTGAATCTATTTATAGGAATTGCTAACAATATTCGCTTGAGGTTGGATCGAAACTAGCAGTATTGTGATTAGGTATTTACTATTTAACAATTGCATTTACAACTCAAGTTATAGGTATATGCAATTTATTTATTTCATTATTCCATAATCTAATTAATAAATTCCTAACTAAAATTATCAACAAGACTCGTTAGCAACTTCATCCGCGTAACCGGAATATATGGTTTGACCGGTAAAAATGTGACTTATTCCTTTTCCATCCCAAACATTACATGTTTGAATAATTTTATATTGTATGGTTGAGCCGTTAAAGTACTACAGGTAACAAATAAAAAAAATGTTACATCTATAATATTATGTATGGCTAGATTATTCTTAGCTATTTTCTGTGGTATTGCCTGCATCAAATACTTATATTATTAATTATACTACTGTGATCAAAAAGTAAGGTGAATTTGTTTGTAAAATGTAAATTATTTATTTATTCTTCCAAATCAATTTCAACCCCTTCAAAATAATCCCCGTCCGATAAATCGCATTTTTGCCAACGCTTTTTCCAGTCCACGAAACAGTCGTAATATTCTTTTTCCGGTATAGCTATCAAGACTTTCTTCGATTCGGTTTTTATCTCTTCAATCATGTCAAATTAGTGTAATGTAGTTAAATCTGTGGGAATTTTGTATAACGATTTATGGTATGTATTTGTGTATAGAAGAATAAAGCAATAGGGCAGTTTTAATCTAACCAACAAGAATTAGACAGACCATGTGTTACCTCAGAGATACAAGAGTATTCGGAACCGGCATGTGTGAATATGACACAAAAAATGTATGGAAGTATATAGGAATTAGGCAACTCATTTTCTCTGCCCGCCTCGTAAGATACCATGCGTGAAGATAGTAGCAAGATTGTTATATTTATATTGTAACCCGAATCTTGTATTAGATTGTTGTATCTTGGATTAGATTGAATATATTGTATTTAATAATTTATTTACATTATAAGTTTCGCTTCACGACACAAATTTTAAGATAGATATTATTTACTGGATATAATAAAACTGACCTCGTCAGCAAACGAAGTCAATTGTTCTTGTTAACCCTATATCGTTTCTTGAGGTGGCCTTCTATAAGACACCATTAGATAGTCCATTGTATTTAATACGAATATATGTACCTATCTTTGTTTGTTTGGGGTTTTTTGATACCGACAATAGCGAATAAGATGATGGCCTAGTTGTCAAAAGTTGTAAGAAATAACTAAGGACGTCACTCTACATATAGTTAAGTATACAGTGCTGCTTATGACATTCATATATTACCTATTTTCATCCTCCATTAAAAATATTTAGTATAATTTTTTTTATTAAAGATAATAGGAGGCAGTTTAAATATTTAGATTTAAAAGTATTTAAGAGGTATTTAAATTTATATTCAATAGTAGGGATATAAAACAGCAGAGGAAAAATAGTTTAATACATTTTTATCTATAAATATTGAATATATTTTTATAATAACAGGCTATGGATATATAAAATAAGACAAAATACAAATGGTTTTTAGAATTTCTCTCTGCCTGTGTTGATGTCGGAGAAGTCAGTGTGCTAACTTAGTGGAAAATGGTATAAAATTATTTTATATTAAATCTTATTTCCCACTTGTTATTTAATTATTACAAACGCGGAATTTTCTAAGGTTAAATAAAAATAAATAAATGAATTGGTATAAGATGCTAGTCAGCTATACAATTCGGCTATTTTATTATTAAAAATATTTAATGAAGCCAGAAAAGTATTTTTGTATGAAGAAAAAATGCTTGGTAAAAGTAAATTCTCAGTTTTTCCACATACATATTGTTTCAGTTGCTATTTCAAATGTTTGAAACAAATACTGACATCACAACAAAAATAGTGAATGAAAAGAGTTTCCAACTGAATAATTAAGTCGTAGTAAAATATAAATATCATTTTAATATAAAAAAATCCCAGTACCTACACACTATGAATGAACGACATGCTCATCTTCGAAATCGTTCAATGGAATATATGATTTTGTTACAGTTTAATAGATAGATAGATAAACACTTTATTTGAGCCATTTATGAACACGTAAATTAATAACAATGAGTTCATAGAATCAAATGAATTACATCTTTTTAAATATAAAACAATAGATAAAATATGAAAATAAATTTTCGCCATGTGTGTTGCAGTGATTCAAATAGGCTACAGCTCAGTGATAGTTTTGCTTAAAAACAAAGCACTGATTTTTAGCTACAGCCTGAAGTTAGGCTACGCGGTTGCGTGCAATGAACACAGAGTGTCCCTCTTTACATTGTTTGCTCAATGTTCAGATATAGGATTTTATAATTATTACACAAATTGACCCATTGAAAAGCAGTAGGGGGTAAAATAACGTCTGTCAATTCATTTGTGTGTACCAATAATATATAGATAGTGGAAATTTAACTGATTTCAATAATTCTCATTTTGCATATCACTACAGTGCCACGACTGAAATTGCAATTTATGCGCAGTAAAATTTTAATTTAATTATTATCGCAAACAA